AGATTATTTTTTAGATACAAAAATAAAATTTTAAGTATAAAAGGTTTTTTTTAATACCTTAATAGTAATTTAATATATTTATAATAATTTTTATAATTTTAACAAAGGTTTTTAGACTATAAAGATTTTATTTTAATAAAAAGTCATCTTATTTTTTGGGATTTAAATTAAATAAAAAGAAAATTAATGCCTAAATAAATTATATAACATTTAAATAACTAAATATTAAATTTCAATAAATATTTTATATCCATCTAAATTTATTATGTAGTTTTTTAATAAGCAACAGTCATAGTTAAAATTTTATTTCTATAAAAAAAGTAAAAAAGATATAACATAACCCATTTTAATTAATAAAATAAATGCTTTTTTAGTGGTAAAAATATATTTTTATCATGAGGCAAACACAAAAAGTATTAAAAAATAATATTAACTTGAAGATTTAAAGTTGTAAAGTTGTCTTAATAATAGATTTTAACCAGAGTTACTTTAAAACAATATTATTATTTCAATTAAAATAACCCGTTAAACACCTCTTAAAGTTTTCTTATTTATAATCAAATTTTCTACTGCAAAAATAGTCTTTCACTGCCTTTCCTTATTATCTCTCTTTTAAGTAGAGTATTCAAGTTTTTATTGCCACTTTAATAAACAGAGAAACTCAACTTATTCAGCTAAAATCAAGCGCTAACGAGGCACCAGCAGCAAATGGCATATAGCCAAGCAGGAAAAACAACAACACCAACAGCAGCAACCTCATAAGCAAACAACAGCAATTGGCCACGGTAGTCAGGGCATTGATATTGCAATTAATATGCAGCTCCATTTATACATATCTATACAAAGTTGCTATATATATTGCTAGTATATATCCATTAGGCACATGTGTGTGGTCGCCTTTATTTTCGGCAAGTTCGTTGCCCAAGTCTTTTGTTTGCCGCTGCTGCTGCTGCTGCTGCAATCCGTCATAGCGATTATTTGATTTAATTTAGATTCCTTTTGGGCCCAAAGCCCTGATCAGTTGACAGTTTATCAGCTGGGAAATGTTTAATGTTTCGATATTTTCCTCCTTCCCCCTTCCCTTATGAATTTTAGCTCTTCCCCTCGTGCCGCCCGCAGCTGTCAGCAAAGGCTTTGACGTCGCCCCGTTGTCGATGCTGTGCAGCGATAAAGTTGTCAAAGCAATTTTTGGCTGGCTAGGAAAAATGTTTGGCTACAAAGTACCATACAGAAAACACTGAAGAAAAAAAGAGGTTTAAAAATATTAATTTATGAAATTTATAAAAAAAAAATTGAATTTTAAGGAGGTTTCTAAGGCCTAAAATATGTTAAAAAAAAATTAAAAGAAAATGTTGAAATGAAATTAAGTTTATAAAAATAACAGTTTTAGTTTAAAGTCAAGTTTATTTATATTTAAAATTAGTTAATTATTTAACAAACAAATTAAGCAATTAACCCTTTAAATAAACAATTCGGATTGCAAATATTTTCTCAGCCTTTTCTTAAATTTTCTTCAAGTGTAGCCAGGCCAAAAGGCAAAGCCACCAGCTCTCCAGCTGCCTGCTTTTGGGCCTGTTGAATGTCTAATGTCGTGACTCGATTAATGAAATGTTGCAGCGAGAGAGAGAGAGAGGTGGAAAATGCAACAAGAATTATAAAAAGTTATAATAAAAGCATTGACAGTCGCCTAATGGCCGTTTGTTGGCGCTGGCGGTGTCAACATGGCCTGGGCCACGTTAATGGATCGGCTAATTAGATATGTGGGGGCCCAAAGCAATTGCAAATGCAACTGCTGGCACATCGGTAATGAAGATGGAAACGAGTGCCAGGAATTCCTTGGTTTAAAGATCAACCCATCAAAAGTTGACAGGTCAGGCGGGTTGAGCTTTCCCTTGACAAACTCATCAAAGATCCGCCAGTGGAGTGCATTTGATTAGCTTAATAATATAGCCATAACTGCGGGGCTAACCCTATACTATCAACATCTTCATAATAAAACAATCAACGCACAATCAACGCCGAGATCAAGTGACTCTTCATAGACAACGAGCAGGCTTTGCGGTGTTGTTTTTTTTTGCACAACGAAAAATATATGTTTTTAGGGAAATTGAATATTAAATTAAAACTGGTTTTATATAGCTTATGATAAAATAAAATATTAAACTATTTAGAAATGGTTCCTGAAAACAATATTAGATTTACGAAGAAGAAATAATTTATTTTCCTTAAAAAATATATATTTAAAAGCTAAAAAAAGGAAACTAGAAAATATTAAAAGCGAGATATTTAATATACAATTAAAACTATATTTATTTAGCTATGAATATATATTTTTTATGACAAAATTAAATATTAAACTATTTAGAAATGGCTTCTGAAAATTATATTAAATTTTTGAAGAAGAAATAATTAATTTCTCTTGAAAAAAATATTTTTTAAAGCTTAAAAAAATTAATCTAGAAAATATTAAAACGTGATTTAGGTAGATATTGTTATTAAATATTTTTCTTTGACCCATAATTTATTTCATTTACCTTCTTCCAAAATCTATATAATATTTTTTTTTCGGTGCACCTACCTTGTCTGCCGCAGCCTCATCTGCAGTCTCTTCTCCTTTGGTGTCTTGCTTAAAGTTGGCATTTCCTGGCATTATAAGCGTTAAATTGAGAGGTCAACAAAGTGCTGTATAGTGTGTATGTGTATTTTATTTTCTTTTGTGTGTTTGTGTGCGTTTCCTGTCTAGATTCCCGGGTACACCGAATCCCGAATCCGAATCTCTTAAGGCCTGTGCCAAAGTAATTGATGTGCACGCTTGACCTGTGGGAGGGAACATATTGCAGATAATCTGCAACGCAGACAATTGCCTCAATGAATTTTTTATAAGCCACCGCATGCTGAATAAATGCTTGTACTTACCCCGTACACAGGCCTTTTTCATCGAGCCCATCCACATGAAATGTGGCCCATTGTCTTTGACTCTTTGGGTTGCAGGGTATGGGGGATCGGAGGAGATCTCAAATATTTATTACAGCATTTATTAAACGCTTTTCACAAATCGACAAACACTTTGACAATGAAAGAAAACCTCAAGACGAAAAACCTAAAATTCCACGCACCGCAAATTAGTCGAGCTGAGAGGGACAAAACAAAAGGCCAACATTGGAAATCGAACTCGGACAAAACGTGGGCGTTCTTCAGATTTATGTTGAAAAGATACACAGCCCCACAAAAAGTGATACATGAAAGGTTGATAGGTTTGGATGAGATCTTTGGGTCTAAATCATTGATAGCTGGGGAATCTGCTGGTTGCTTTTGGGGATTTATGAAAAAGAAAGCTTACTGAAAAGCCTTTTTGATGATTTTTAATAATTCCCATTCTTAAAAATATTTTATATAATTATTCAATTTTTTTTAGCAAAGGAATTATTATTTATAACAATTTTTAACGTATTTTTAAGTATTTTCTTCTTCATTTTAAATTATTTTCAACACACATTCCGCTAAAACTATAAATTTATACAAAATAGAGCTTGCTGTAGGTGTTTCTTAAGGGTATTTCCCAGCTTAAAAATATTTTATAAATTTATTACATTTTATTTATCAAAGAAATTATTATTTACTAACAATTTATAGCTTATTTTTAAGTATTTCCTTCTTGATTTTAATTTAGTTTCAACACAGATTTCCCTAAAAATATAAATTTATACAAAATAGAGCTTCCTATAAGTGTATAAATTATTTTAATAAAGGATTTAATATTTTTAAACAAATTTTTTCAATTTTTTTAAGTTTTTACTTCTTGCTTTTCATTTATTTTCAAGACAGTTTCCCCTAAAAATATAAACCACATCCCAAAAGTCATATTTTCTTCAGCTTACAAACATGAATGATCTAACGAGCGCTCATAAATATTTGATATGAAAAAAATTCAAATAAAATTGATACGCATCATTTGAAAACTCATCACCAGCGGCAGACTTTTGGGATGGGAACAACGTGATCTCCGACGCTCAAAAGCAACAGACAGTCTTCAGTCAGTCGGGTGTCTTCTGGTGTCTTCGTCTTAAATGTTTTGGGACCGCAGGCTTATTTGTTTTGCCGGTGGATATGTATTTTGGGATTTGTTAATTAATTAGTCGGGGTTAATGGGCTGCCATTAATAAAAACGCTTATTTATGGCGCTAAAAATACAAAATGCTACAGCACACCAGCTTCAGCAGAGAAACTTTCTCTCGCAAAGTTGTATAACTCTATAAACCGAAAACTGAGACCCCAATTGGTATGGAAACAGAAGTATAAGGCCTACAGATTTGCCAGATTTTTCAGATATGAATTATGCTCGGCATGTAGCTCTAAGAGAGAGAGAGGTCCAGAAAAAGTCTTAATTAGCTGCTGGCCGTTTTGGCCAAATTGCCTCCCTCATTTCGAGTGGCCAACCAAAACGTTCACTTCTCGCCCAAGTTTGGCTATCTCTGTGAGTCGACTTGATAATGATGAAGGCTGAGAAACCGAAATAGAAATGAACCAAATGCAGGCAGGCTCTGGCTTTGGGCTTTGGGTTCCCATGATAACTCCTTGGCAATTGTCTTGCCAACAACCTGTCCAAAGAACTGGCCAAAATGGAGGCACACAGATCGGGCTAAGATATCCGGATAGCCGGGATAGGCCTCTCCAGAATGGCACAAATTTCATTTTCATTGTCCGCCGCCGCTCATTTCTGGTTTTTAATAATTTTAATTAGCGATCGCTTATCGATGATTATGTCAGTCGTCGCCGTTGCTGCTGCTGCTGCTGCTGTTGGAGAACAACCCACACAGAAAGCGTTGTTGCAGCCAGTTGCGTGCCTCGAATTGGATTCCCAAACACCGGGCACCTTTTCACACCAGGAATGGCTTGGACAGCTTTGACTGGGAGGTTTAGTTTTAGATAAACAGAGAGAAAAACGGGTAGTAAAATGTATTTAAAGCCAAGTTAAAGAAAATCCTTATAATAAAAACAGATTTTTTTATCAGCTCTCGAGTTTATTGAATCAAAATTCGACTCTTACGACTGTTACATAAATTCCTTTAAGCTTTAAAATAAATATTTTCCAATTAAAGCTGGTCCACCTAAATTAAAAAATATATTTATAAATATATTTACTAAAGGATAAAAAGACTTACCTTTAGTTTAAAAGAATTTTAATTAGCAACAGCCACCTCCCCAGAAGCCAGGACCACTGGGCCCGCACCAAGAGTTGAAAGGACCATTATAGGGACCAAAGCAAGGATCATAAAAGCCACTGGGTCCACTGCCACCACAGGGGCACAAGGCGGCGCAAGGATAGCAAGGGTAGTGGCACATGGTTGAAAGCTAGATTCAAAAAGAAAGTATAAATAAATATATAATTATATCACTTTTTCAGTTTACTTTTTTGCTTTATAAATTTAAGAAATATAAATTTTGTATGGAATTTTTAGATTTTTTGTTTTGTAACAGTCCGAAGAGCTCGAATTTCAATTATCAACTGAGCTCTATAAGTTGTAAGCTTACATAGGTAGGAAAAATTAAAAGTCAAGGCTTGCTGTGGTGTAAAAAATATGTAAGTTATGCCAGAAGTCAAGGCTTACTTACTACAATTATTTATATATTATTTAAAATTTTTATTAAAATATATTAAGAGTTTTTTAGTGCCTTTTCTTTTTGTATATTTTTAATTTCTACTTAAAAGAATATAAATAGCACTTAACAAATTTTATTTAAAATTTTTTCAAGATTTAAAATACTAATTTTTCTCTCTGTTTAACTTCAACTCCATCTGTCAAAGCGCTTTTCCCAGACAAAAACCAAACACCAACGCATGTGGGCAGCATTTAATGTCGCTGGCTACTGTCTGCATTTTCCCTCTCCCCTTTTTACCTCCATCACCTTTGTCCAACCATAATGGAGTGTGACTAATTAATAAATTAATTTCGTTGCTGTCTCATTTGTAATTTCAATTTGTCTAATAGGATTTCATGTTTTGACCATTTTCGTTCCTACAGTAAAGCGCATTTTATGTCTTTAAGTTTAAAAACGGCTTAGGCCTCAGCGATAAAGCAATTTGTACAATGCGCCTAATTAAGCGTGAAGTGACGACTTTACAGGGTGTCGAGAGTGTCAGTGTTTCAGAGTGCCAGAGAGAGAGTGTGGGCGCTAAATAAAGTCCTAAGCCAGGTTCAATAAATACCTCATTTTGGTGTCAAGTTTTAAATGTGAGAAGTATCGATCGTGTGAAAAACACCGAAATTTCATTTGAATAATGAACTTAAGTCAAGAGATGACATAAGTAAGGGTATAGATGGAGAGGTTATAGTTAGAGATTCGAGGGATAGGATCAGGATAGGAAGGGGAAAAGGTATTATTAAGGCATATTTTAATTTAAAAAATTTATAAAAATAAGATTAAGACACTTACTAAAAGAATAACTGCACAAATTAGCCTGTTAATCAAGATTCATCTTTTGAAAAATACTTCCTTACAATTTTTACTATTTCCTATACTAAAAATATAAACCAAACTATCAGCCCAAGGGCTATTTTATATTTGTAATATTTTAGAAAATTATTTTAAGACGGATTTAGGGACTTACTACAAATATTAAAAAATTAATAGAGGTATTTTAATATCAAATAATTATTTAATATGTTTACTATTTCCTATAATAAAAAATAAAATCCAAACTCTTATCCCAGGGGTTATGATATATTTTTAATATTTTCGAAAATTAATTTCAGCCCGATTTAGGGACTTACTGAAATTAGAACTACAAATTTTAACAATTTAAACGATATAATTTTCCATTAAAAATTTTTTTAATATGGTTAACTATTTAATATAATTTGTAATATATTTTTAAATATTAACAAATTAATCGATATAATTTTACATTAAATAATTCTTTAATATATAAAAACATATCAAAAACTCTCTACCCTGACTTTGTCACACTTCCCTTTCTGTCTGTTGAAAACAATTTATTGGAGAATAAACGAGGACAAGAAACAGACAACGAACATCGACAGGCTGCTGCTGCTGCTGCTGCCGCTGCCGTTGGGGGACTTTCGAAACCAGAAGACAATCCTATCCAATCTGCGGCTATATCTACATATCTGTCAGCCACGGCGACAGGCTCTCTGGGATATATCATATCTGGCAATTTAAGCGTTTAATCACGCGTAGACATTTGGGCGAGATAAATCCCAGAGAAGGAGAACAACCAGAAGAGTGAGGCATTCGGGAAAGAAATAAATTAAAAAAAAAAAAAAAAACATACACCCCGCCATAAAAAGTAATTACAGGCACACGACGACGTAGGCAAAAAAATAAACCAGAATCAGGCCAAGAAGAAAAAAAAGTACAATATATAAATACAAACAAAAAAAAACACAACAATTGCTGTGACAAATCTGCAATTTTTATTACCGTTGTGCCAAGGCTTGTGTTCCTGTTGCCTGTTGCCCTGTCAGCCTGCAAAATGATCGAAGAGTCGCATATGAAAACGCGAAGCAATTGAGATTGATGGCAGCCAGGCAGGCAGCCTGCAAAGGGGGCGGCAGCGTACTCCAGGGGGGGCGTGGCATGCCGTCAGTCAGCGCTCTTGTCGCTGCTCCGTTTTTTTTGTTTTCTCGCAGGGCCATTTTGCATTTGGCTCGACTTTTACATGAGAATTACAAACTACTGGCAACTGGCAACAAACACACACAAGCTGCGGCACACACAGAGATTATTTTACCTGCGTAGGTTGAGCTGCGGTTTTTTGAGGGCACGCGAGGCGGTGCTGGAAGGGGGGTGGCACATGCCAAAGACTGCGAAAATTGTGTCGCCAATTGCTGGTGGCACATGCATATATGAAATGCACTGAGAGGAAAGATTGGGAATATAAAGAAAGAGAACAAGATCGTTAAGCCAGAAAGAAACTTTTTTTTATGGGATACCATGATTAAAATTATCAAACAATTAATTAAAATGAAATTTTCTAATTTCATATGATTATTTATTAAACGTAACTAACATAGTTTTCCGATTTGAATTTAAAGTATTTTTGTCTAAGTTTGATCCATTTCCATGTTTAGAATTATATCTCCATATTTAAAAATATAGGAAAACATCAACAATTTTATTTAAAGAACTTTTCTTTTGTTAAATTTTAATATTTTAAGTCTCAGCTCTTTTGTCACATCAAATTTCCCCTGATTTTCTTAATAATATTTCCCAAGTCGCTATATTTTCTTCAAGTGCCTCGAATGACGCATGCGGCGAGTGCCAAGCTCATGGAATTCATGATCAATGACTAGACACAGATACACACACGCACACACACACATGGCACATGGCACATACACATGCCAAACACGCCGCAATCATAAACAAAATGGAGCAGGAGGGAGACAGAGGCACAAATTAATGAACACTTTGGCTGACATTTTAAGGACAAGTTCGTCGGTTGCTCTGCGGTTTTTTGTGTTTTCCACAGCAGCGGGTGAACACTGTAATCGAGGGGGGAGACAGAGTAAAGGGTGTTCAATGGGAGAGACCCAGGTTGATGGCTTATGCAATTGGACAGTGAGTGATTGGGAGCAGGCAATGCTAATGGTGATATAGTATCTGCTGTCCATTCGCATTGGAAGCGGCTTAAAGGATTGCGGCCTGCAAGATTAAAAAACGGTTGCTGAAAATATCTTAAAAAGGCGATAAAACAAGACAGGATTAAGGCGTTAAAGAGCTCTGAACAAGCTCACTGAATTGCAGGAGAGATAGACAAGGCTTGGAAACCCCTTGAAATGGGGATTATGGCATAAAACGAGGAGTGAAAGTAGAGCAGCGAGTAGTTGAAATAAATATTAAATATATTATGAAAAGTTGTTGGTTATTTAGTGATTAAAATATATATAAATATATTACAAAAAGAGGTTATTAATAAAACTATAATAGCCTTTTATAATAGCCCCTTGTATAGCTCTAGAAATATAGATAAAATCTTGTAAAAATCATCCTTAACTTGGCTTTGATTGGTTTCTCTGCGGACTTCCTACCTTATTCTCCAGCCTCATCTCAAGCTCCATCTTCAGCTCCATCTTGGGGCTGCCATCTCCTGCCACCTCCCACCTACCACATCAAGTGCAACCCACTCACAACTGGCACAAGGACAGCAGCAAAAGCCACAGTTGCCGCTGCTGCTGCTGCACTAGCTACTAATTAACTGGCTAACCGGCCTGACTCTTTGGCTTTGCGTTGGTGTCTTAAGGTCTCCGAAGGGAATGCTTGTATGTAATTCAATCAATTGGAAAACAACAGCAACTGCTGCAGCAGCAGCAGCAGCAACAACTGCTGCAACACGGCCATTGACAATTGGGGCCAAGACACAAGACAACAGCTAAACAAGGGGCAGAAGACAGGCGGCGACCACTACAAGGGTCACCTAATCAATGGGTCTGCCCGATGTTGCAGCAACATGTGGTAGAGCTGTTGATGCTGTTGCTGCTGCTGCTGCTGCTCTCACTGCTGCAGTTGTCAATAGAAGCGATTTGAAATTGTTGCACATTTCCCGTGTGTGTGCTGTGTGTATGTGTATGTGTTGATGCTGTTGCTGCTGCTGCTGCTGCTCTCACTGCTGCAGTTGTCAATAGAAGCGATTTGAAATTGTTGCACATTTCCCGTGTGTGTGCTGTGTGTATGTCACTTGCCTTGCAACTTGAAATGCGAGTGGGTGTTGTTGTTGAGTTGCTGTTATTGCGTGTTGCTGCTGCAGCACAACAGGAACTGCAACAGCCATGGCTAGTGTCAAGTGAAAAGACAACAGCAACATATTTTCTATAAAGTTAATGAGCTTATTTATTGAAGGCAAAGACAGCAGAACAGGTACAACTATTTATGACAGTTTTAAAGAAAGGGAAACAAACTGGGAAAAGTCCTAAAAAAATGAAGGAAGATTTTTAAATCTTTTTACAATTTCTTGATATTTTCTGTAAAAGAAAAACCAAACCCGGAAATCAGAAAGAAATATATATACTAAATATTTTTAAGAGAAAGAAAAGCCAAGACAGAATCTTCCTTTTACGATCACCTAAAACCTGAGAGCTGACTTAATTTGACAAGCTCGCTGTGGAGCTTCACTCACGATTCCATTTTGGCCAATGCCTGCCATTTAGCAATTTGGTGGCTTATTTTCTTTGGGCCATAAATCAAAGCCGGACAAACGAAAGTAAAGTGTGCAATGTAATTACAAATTAAAGGCATTGCAAGCCAAATGGTTGCAAACAAAACAAAAAAACTATTGGCGACATTGCAAAAGGCGATTTAATGAAAAGCGCGCGGCCATTGGGAAATGAATTTTGAAATTATATAAAATGGCACACAAAAAAAAAAATCAAAAAAAAAAATAGAAAACGAGGGGGAAAACAAATCAAAAAGCTCAAGTTTTGGGGGAGTGGAGAGAGTGGGGGAGTTGGAGAGAAAAAGAAAATTAAAGTCACGGTTTCTAGCGTGTAAAGTGTGCGGCGGCGGCGGTATGACTGATGTTACACTTTAAATGTTTTTTTATTGGATTATACAAATATTAAATTAAGGATATATACATATTTTAGGTACCAAAAGCCTGCCACCACCTGTAGCTTTAGTTTATTTATTTAAATAAATATTAATTTTAAAAATAAATAAATATTTTATATACAAAATGTAGATTTAGCTAGACATCTTGGATATTTTTTTATTCAGCAAGAAGGTCTTTGGTTTAATATATTAATTTTAGTTTTCCTTTTTAACTTTTCTGGCTAAAATATATATTTTTATTTCAAGGAAAAGGTTTTAGTTTCTTGACAAAAATATAAAATATTTTATAGGAAGAGGGTTTTTTTTTTTAAATATTTATACCCTTGCTGGGTATTAATATTTTAGTCAAAAGTTGATTACTCCTTGAAGGAAAAATTTCCGACCCTATAAATTATATATATTCTTGATCAGCATAAAATTCCGAGTCGATCTAGACATGTTTGGAAGAACAAAATTTTTGGAGATTTTTTTCAAAAAAAAATATAAGGGGTTACATCGTTAAAATTCTCAAAAATCTACAAAAAATCAAATTAGGTAAAACCTTAAATTTTGTATACAGATTGATTATCCTTATTAAAACTAAGACAAAACCTCTTTCCAAATTGAATTTAAAACATTTTTAGCTGAGTTATAGATTTTTTAAATTTGAATATATTCCCAAAAAAAATTTTTAAAAAATTTCACAATTTCTTTTATTTTTTATTATTATTATTTTTTTTTTAATTTATAAAGAAACTTTATACATTTTTGTTTTATTTTTCTTAATTATGATATTTTTTCTGAGCTTTATTTTACCTATATTTCCACCTTCTTTTTCTGTATAGTTTTTTTTTCCAAGTGTTCTACTGCAAAGCTGATGCTGCTGTTGCAGCGACACTTGCAGCAGCAGCAGCAGCAGCAACAATCAGCCAAACGGTAGAATGTAAATGTCTTTCTGGCCAGGATCGTTGTTATTGTGGCTGCTACAGTTGGTGCCACAAAATCCAAATTGCTTGGCAGCCATCGACAAACAACAAACCAAATAAAAAACAAAAAAACAAAAGCAACGGGCCAGCAAGCGGCAACCTGCAACCTGCAACTGGCTGCAACTTGCAACTCTGCCTCATCAATTGATTAAATTTGCAACAGCCACAGATCGTCGTCGATGCCTTTCACTTAACAGTGCACGATTTTTATTTATTTAGATTTAGATTTAATTTTTTTTGCTCAGCCCCGTTTCCTTCTCCTCACAAAAATAATTTGTTCAGAGAGAAAAAATATCAAGAGTCGGCTCTAGGATGTGTTTTAAAAGCTGTAAAAATCACATTATAATGCTGTTATAAAATGTTTAAAAATTAAATTAACATTAAACAAAATCTTTAATAAATTTTAATAATTTTTAAAACGTTTTCTCTGGAGTTTCAAGACTTTTTCCCTTGGAAAAAACGCATCCAAACGCAGCAATTGAAATGTTTGTGGTAACGCGATGCAGGAAAAATCTACAAACAATAAGCATGTTTTTTTTTTTTGGATTTTGGCCATTTTTGGCCATCGCCAGAGCTACGCCAGAGAGTTTAGATAAAATCTAGCCGGCATTTGTTGGCCTGGTGGCCACCAACAAAGTCGTCGCCATTGTTGGCAAACGGCAGTCAGGTGTTGCTTTTATTGTTTTACAATCACCACCACCACCACCACCGGGCGACCAACAGCCAACAGCTAAGAGGCACTAAAGGAGGAAGAGGAGCCTTCTTCTCTCATCGATATTGGCCAACTTTCACAAGCAAATCTCGGCGAGGCAATGTCGGGCCATAAAAGCCGCTGTGCAGCCCAATTCAAATAAAATGAAAATAGAATCAAATAAACTTTTCTCAAAGCCAAACGGCAAACAAAAGGCCACAGTGAAAAATGTCTACATATAAAAAAGAAGACTGGAAAACTGCAAACTGCAAACTGCCAGTCGGGTCATAAAGAAAGCCCAGGGACAGGGAGTCGCGATCTTGGCCAACACACAGGCCAAATGCAAATGTTTTTCCCTCCCGCCTTTTCCAAGCAAACCCCATAAAATATAATAAAAAAGAAAGAAAAGGAGCAGGCTGACCCAAAACAATGGACGGCACTGTAAGGCATTGCTGCTGCCGAAGTGTTAACCGATTGTCCAGATACGCCAGGATTGATAGTCGCAAATCGCCGAGGGACAATTGATGGGTTTCCAGGGGGTTTGGGATCGGGATCGGGATTGGGTTCGGGATCTCTTCATTACCCTTCGATCTTTGGCTTTAAGCGGGAATTTTGTTTATTAGAATTTGCATATGTAGGTTCTCTGGGTTTCCCACACACACACACACACACACATAACCCTGCGATCTGTGGCTAATTGGAAGTTGGAAAGCCAAAGCCCCGCCAGCTGCCCCATTTTGAGAACCTGCAACGTGCTCCCCCCAGAACCTCGTCATCTCTAACTGCCCATCAAATAAATCAGCAGCAGCAGGCACATGCAAACATGTTGGCTTTTATACTGAAAAGAAATTCTGGGGTGTTACAAAAGGTAAACAGAGTTGAAAGAGGTAAAAAGAAGAAATGAGCTCTAGATTTATTTTTAAATTAATTAATCATCCTCACCAAAGATCCACCTAGCTTATGGTATTTTTCAGAAATTGTATTTTAAATCTTAAAAAATAATTAATTCTTAAATGAATAAAATAACAATATAAAAATACAAACAATAATTAATATTATTATTATTTATTTATTATTGTTTCAAATTTATGTAGTTTTAGGCTTTTTAAGCTTGATTATTACAATCAAAATTCATTACATTTTTCCCAGTGTAGTCATCTTCCATCCAGCAGTCAAGCGGCACCAGTTAGCGGTGTCCAATTTGCTTCTTTTTTTCTGTTTTTTTGGCCATCTCAGTTATCAGAGTGCGCGTTTTAATGAGTTCGAGTACGTTTTATGAGCGAAAAACTCTTGAGAAATCCGAGGGAACGCGAACGCACCAAAGTGGAATGCACACAAAAATGTTAGAATCTCGCCGCGGCGATAAAACTTTCGCGAGTAAAAATTAAACACAGAAGAAAACAAGACAAGAAAACCAAAAAAAGAAAGAAACACTCGAGAAGAATCCGAGGAGAGCCTCTCTGCTCATCAAAAATCAACTGGAATGGCGATGGCGACGGTCTTATGATGATTGTGATTGGTGTCGCCACCTCACCTGAGTTTAGTTTTTATTTTTGTTGTACCCTACCTGGTCTGGCACGTACGCAGATTCGTTGAGAAGGAAGAAATAAAAACAAAATGCAGAGATACAAAGATACTGAGATACAAAAGATACTAAGATACCCGAGTTACAGAGCTCTCCTCTGGTACGTGGCATGTAAAATATGTGCAGAATGGCTGAGGAAAACGTGTGGAATTCATGAATGAATGCCGTTGGCGGAATGTGAATGAAAATGCTGAGGAAAATTCGCATGAAAAGCTAAGGGGAAATGTTGAAGAACAAGCAGCCACACAAAAGTAGGCAAGGAGTTGGTAAATAATTTAAATAAAATTATAAAGCATACTTGTAGGCGGGGTCTTATACCTATTTTCTAATAATAATAGCAGCCTAGCCTGAAAAATCACTGAAAATTCATTAACTAAAAATACTTAAATTCTTTATAAACAAACACAAAATGCCCTCTGTATTCTTGCAACTGGAAACAAACGATGGCAAACTCCATATCGTGGAACGTGCCTTGGTGAAACAAATGGGCATCATCCGCGAAATGCTGAAACTGGAGTGTGGGGATACCACCGAAGTGATACCTCTGCCCAGGGTGGATTCGGAGACACTGAAACTCCTCCTCAAGTGGTGCGAATCTATGAAATCTTGGACGGATGATGCCGAAGTATCCGTACGCATAAATATACTGAAGAGATTAATCCAACGTTCTGGCGGGGATGACGAGGTCCTGTTTCAGCTGATCACTGCGGCCAACTATCTGCAGATGGACAGTCTCCTGGATGCCGGCACTCAGCTGCTGGCCAATATAATCCAAAGCTATGACAGTGCCGAGGAGCTGAGGCTACGTTTTAGTATTGCAAATGAAGAGGAATAACACAAAGTAAATCTATGAAAAATAATCCAAGAAATGTGATTGTAAGGAAATTTCACAAGTCTAAAAGGTCTTTGGAATCGCTTTCTTAAGCCATCTGTAAAAATTTGTCTAGAAATGATAGTGCTTTTTGTAAGTGTAGTGAATAAATTGGGAATTAAATAATATAAAAAAAACTCTTTCTTTATAAACAAGAAAAGAAGCTAACTTCAGCACGCCGAAGTTTGTATACCCTTGCAGGGTATTATAATTTCAGTCAAAAGTTTGCAACGCAGTGATGGAGACCTTTCCCACCCTATAATTTTATATAATTTTAGGATTGTCAGAGATGAAGCTGGAGGAGCGAGCAGCTGGCTGGACAGACCTCAACGGGATGGCAGTAGAGGACGGTGATCGGATCTTGGCTCCGGGCTATATGAAAGCTTGCAGAAGGCATAAAAAATTAAAATATTTATAAATACGATTAAAATATGTAAATGTAATTGATGGAACACACAAATATAAATCAATAAAGGATGGTGAATTCAATGTGCAATTTTTTGGTGAAGGCGGCATTTATTTGGGATCGTTTGGGAAAAAATCTAATTATTTTGAAAGCAAAATCTAAATTTTTAAATCTGTTTTCTGAATTTTAAACTTTTTTTTTCGGTTTTTTATAATTTTTCTGAAGATTTAACATTTTTTTCTAAATTTTCTCTGCATTTTAAAATTTTGTTCTGCATTTTTAACATTTTTTTCAGATTTTTTACATTTTTTGTAGAATTTTTTAATTTTTTTTTAAATTTTTAACCGCCAAAGATGAATTTGAATTTAACTGCCAAATTTGAATTTGAATTTAGCGACGATCAGTTTCAGTGTGCCCAGGTGCAGTTGTAAAATAACACCTAAATTTGGATTCAAAAGGTTTGAGTCTCCGCTAACTTGCGCCGGCTCCTAAATGGTTTGAAACTTGGACTTTTTATAACAGTTTATACCAGTTTTCAGTCGCTTGCTGCTGATTTCTGTTCGCCTGGTACCCCAATTTGGGAAACGGCCAAATTGAATGGAAACTTTTGCTCACTTCCATCAGTGATGCTCATCTGCATCAGTGATGCTCACTTCCATCAGTGATGCTCACTTCCATCAGTGATGCTCATCTGCATCAGTGATGCTCACTTCCATCAGTGATGCTCACTTCCATCAGTGATGCTCATCTGCATCAGTGATGCTCACTTCCATCAGTGATGCTCACTTCCATCAGTGATGCTCACTTCCATCAGTGATGCTCACTTCCATCAGTGATGCTCATCTGCATCAGTGATGCTCACTTCCATCAGTGATGCTCACTTCCATCAGTGATGCTCACTTCCATCAGTGATGCTCACTTCCATCAGTGATGCTCACTTCCATCGGTGATGCTCATCTGCATCAGTGATGCTCATCTGGCTATATTTCAATATTGGGGGCAATAAAGTCGGGCTTAATGGCAGTGATGCTCATGTGCATCAGTGACGTTTATCTAGCTATTTCTTTGCATTATTGGTAGAAAATTGCATGTCATTAGGTGTCAGTGATGCTCATCTAGCTATTTTGCTTTGATGTTTCTTTCATTTTCCACCGCAAGAATGCCCTTCTATTGAGCTTATTTAAATTATCCCACCCAAAAAAAAACCGCATCCTCTTCATAACTCAAAAATAACACATTTTTTACGGTTTATTATTTATTTCAGCTTTAAATAAATAAAAGAAGAAAAGGTGAGGCATGTGGGAATGTCCTGCTCCTCCTCGTCCTGATCCTCTTTGCCAACGCTCTCTTTCTCGCCTTCGGCACCCGCTTTCAGTTCCTTGCAGCTTGCTGCAATTAAATTTAAAAAGAAGGGTGCGATTTATTTTGATAATTTTTCGGAAACAAAACTAATATCAGGTTCCTAACTCAGGCAAAAATGCCTTAACTCAATTCGGCAAGCTTTTCAGAGTTCGTTTTTCTAAGCTTAACAAAGCGGCTTACTCAGTTTTAATAAAATACTTACCTGTAATTTTAAAAGAAAGCTGTTCTAGGTTGGTTATTCTAAGCTTAATAAAACTGCTTACTCAGTTTTGCTTAAATGCAAGAAACTGATTTTCAAAGGTTCATAACTCAGTCATTTTTATACCCTTGCAGGGTATTAAAATTTCAGTCAGAAGTTTGCAACGCAGTGAAGGAGAAGTTTCCGACCCTATAAAGTATATATATTCTTGATCAGCATCAACAGGGGAATCTTTCTAGATATGTCAGGAAGAAATCGATTTTTTGGCCATTTTTGCAAAATTTTATAAGGGGTTACATCATTAAAATTTTTGATTTTGATAAAAAATTGAATTTTCAAAATTTTTTAATGAAGTATGCAGATTTATTAACTGTAGAAAATCTTGAACAGAACAGTTTTCCGATTTAAAATTAATGTTCTTTTAGCCGAGTTATGATATTTTTAATTAAAAAAAAAATCAATAAGTTTTTTAATATAAAAAATCCGATTTTATAATACAAAATAATATTTTTCTAAGTCAAGGAATCATTTCCGACCCCATAAACCATATATATTCTTGATCAGCATTAACATGCGAATCTATCTAGACATGTCCGGAAGAAATCGATTTTTTGGCCATTTTTGCGAAATTTCATAAGGGGTTACATCATTAAAATTAGCAAAAATGCCCAAAAATTTTGATTTCTTAAAATTTTAAATTTGGTATGCGGTTTTTTTAAATTAATAAAAACTAACACAAAACTGCTTTCTGAATCGAAATTAATGCATTTTTGGCTTAGTTATGATATATTTTAATTGTTACCTGCAAGAGTATAAAAACTTTGGCTGGCCAAAGTTAGCCTTTATTTATTTGGAATTACGTTATTAAGCGAATTTAAAAATTATTTCTAAAAATTATAGTCTTTTTGGTAAATGTAGAAAATAAATTTGGAATTAATTAATTGAATAACCCTTATTAAAAAAAAAATTTAAAAGGAAAAAATGATGGAAGGTATCATGAACTTTTTCTGATATATTTCTCTATAAGAAATTATATTTATATTATTCTTAATTTCCTTTTTAAGATTATTTAAAATAATAACATCTTTTCCATTTTGTAAGTAATTAAATCTTTATTAAATCTCAATTTGTCGGTGATTATTATTCAATATTTTTTTGTCTGGTTTTCTTTTTTTTTTTCTTTTCTTTTGTGTTTTCTCGTTTCATGGGATCTTGGTTTTTCTTCTTTTTTTCTCTCTCTCTGGTTTTATTTTCCAAAACTCTCGCTATGCTTAAACCGCTACTTGACTTAACTTTTTTACTTCGCTTTTGCAAATTTTCACAACGTTTCTCTGTGGTTTTTCCCTTCAGCGGCTGTGTTTTTTCAGCCCAAAAACTTGACTTTCTCCAATGTATTTCATTTTTTTTCCATACTTCGTGGTGTTCTTAGTTATTGCTAAAGATCTCTTATTTGTTTTTTATTATTATTTATTTATTATTTGGTTTTTGTTTTGCACATTGCAACGGCAATGGCAAAAATTGGCAAAGATGTGTCGAAAAATAGGGAGTAGGAAGAACCAATGGCAGAAATGAAAACTGGTGGGGATCGAGGAGGAAATGCGCCCTGCTGTAATGCGAAAAGTCGGTTCTAGATAGCTCCGGGGTTCTTCGGTCTTCTTCGTTCTTCATTTCATTTCCTTCAATTCTTTCAAATATTTTATGTAATTTTTTGTTCAAGGAGTTCGAAACCGACGACTCTTGGCTCTTCTGTTTGAATTCTTCTGTTGTTCTTGTTGTTGCTAAGACTTGTTCTGGTTCATTTTTCTGGTTTGTGTAACGCTATAAATCGCTCCATAGAAAAAGTGTAAACTATGCTATCCCATATTGATAGAGTTTGTATAGCTTCAGCTTCGTCTGCTTCGTCCTCATATAAATAGGTGTATACATAAATGAATATATATACATATATATATTCTGCCTTTTTGTATAGTCATTAAATATGTATAATTTATTTATTCCGCCTTGTCTCGTTTTGTTTATATATATATATTTGTATTAATATGTATATATGCAATATATATTGCTTAACTTTTGACAATGCAACGCTTTGAAGCAAGAGGCAGACATAGAGAGAGATTCAGATTCAGATTCAGTTTCAGTATCAGTTTTGGATTTATGGATTACAAAGGGAATGTCCCTTTAAGATCCTGTCAGTTAGAAATATGAAACTTTTGCAAAGGAAGCGCCACTGTATCATTAAACTAATAATGTCTTTTGCTTTCGAAATAAGTTGCTTCGTTTTGTGTTTTTAAATATGCTGTGTCTCTTACTAAGTGTCCTTTGAAACAGAGTTCATTACGTTACGTTACGTTATGCTTTTTAGTTTTTACTTTAGTTGTAGTTACATTTACTTTACGTTTACTTTTACTTTCTTTAAGTTTAAATATTCACGAGCACGCGCGAGCATTTCAATTTGCATTTTGTTGTTTGCCTCAAAATTTACAATTTGCTGTGTATTTTCTATATTATATTTCCCCTTGGTTTAAGCTTACTTGTGTGGAATGCTTGAGTAAAATTTTCAGTTTCCGCTTTTTTCCCTGTTCTTTTACAAAATAAATATTCATCATCGGCCACGAGGCTGATGCTGTGATGGTTCCATCGGGTTCCGAACTCTGTACTCTGTCTCTAAAAAGTTGTTTTTTTAAGTTACGTGACTTACGTCTTAAGTTGTTTTTTTCTTTTTACCTTACTTTCTTTTTTTTATTTATTTTTTTGGGGTATTTTTTCCTTTTTCTCGTCTCTAAAAAACTTCATTCTGGGTCCAACTTGCTTCAGTTTATTTTTCCTGATATTTTGTTGCCATTTATTATTACAATTTTGTTTATTTACTTTTGGGTTTTACCAGCTTTACGATTTCTCAGCTTGAGCATTATTGCCTTCTCTCTTCTTTGCGGTTTTTCCTCTCCCATCTCTCTCTCCACGATAAGTTTTAGATTTCTACGCAAGTTTTCTTTGGCGATATGTATGTACATGTGTTTTTTGGGGGGACGAAAATTAAACTAAAAAACTCAAGAAATCAAAAACAAATTAAAAATTGTCTTTCGAAAAATTAGAATTTATTTTTCCATATTATCGTATATATATTTATATATGTGGTAGATGGTAGATCTCTAAGTTTAATGTGTTGTTTT